TGTGGAAACTGAACTCGGTGTTGTTTACTGATAACACAATCTTCACAAACTCCTGATGGAACTGTGATTGGAGGAAGTCCTTCCACCATATGCTTTTGGTATAGTGTCCTTAAACCACCAAAATTAAGATGCCCATATCTAAAATGCCAAATCCATGCTGCCTCCTTTAATTTAGCCATGTAGCAAGTATGATCAGATTTAAGAAGACAGAGTGGAAACATTCTGTTTGTTGTCATCTCAACTTGAACAAGCATGTTTTGGTGATGATCATATATCTTGCAGGCTCCACCTTTAAATGCAATTTCATACCCTTTCTCAAGTAATTGGCCAGCGCTCAAGAGATTTGTCCTCAATTCAGGAACAAAAAAAACATCAGTAATGGATTGCATTTTCCCTTTTACAGAGACTTGGACAATACCTTTGCCCATGACAGAAATAGTAGAATCATCTCCAAGCTTTACTTTGGTGCGATAGGTATCGTCAATGGAAGAAAATGCTTCTTTACTACCACACATATGATTGCTACAGCCAGTGTCAATGTACCATAAACCTGGTGAAGACACTTCTTTCTCTTGACATACCATTAGAAGAATTTCTCCTTCGTTTGCTTCTGCAAAATCTCGTTCTACATCTGCTGCATCATCTTCATTTGCTGCAGCAAAATTTGTTGTTTCCACACGTTGACCAACCTCCTGTTGTTTTCACATACCCAGGAGGTTGGTCAATAAAAACCAGCTCTTGGAGATCACCATGTAAAAATGCAGACTTTACATCTAATTGATGGACATGCCAAGATTTATGTGCGGCTAATGCAATAACCAAACGAATTGTGTCCAGTTTTGCAACTGGCGCAAATACCTCTTTGTAGTCTACGCCATACTCTTGCTTGTAGCCTTTTACGACCAGTCGTGCTTTGTATTTGTCAAGGTTGCCATCCTTGTTTAGCTTTGTCTTGTAGACCCATTTGACACCAATAGTATTATGGCCTTTGGGAAGATTAGTTAATTCTCAAGTGTTGTTTTTTTCAATTGCTTCAATTTCTGCATCCATTGCATCTCTCCATTTTTGATGTTTCATTGCTTCGTCAAAAGTAGTTGGATCACTTTCTGCAAACAAAGCAAAATGGATTAGTGGATCCTCACTTTGATCAACTCCGGACACCTCATAAGCTTGCATCCATGCTGGCCTTTGTCGGTGACTTTGGGGGCGTTCATGTGTTGTAGCTTCATGATTAGGCTCCTCTTCCTCTTCTTCTATAGAGTCAGAATTGTTGGAAGTTGAGGCTGAATTGTGCGGTTGATCTTTCTCACCAAATTCTTCAAGATCAGTTGCAATTGGTGCCACCGCATTAGCTTGATCATCCCAATGCCAGAACCTTTCTTCATCAAACACTACATCACGACTAATTATGATATTACTGGTTAGAGGATTGTAGAGTTTATAAGCTTTTGTTTGATCACTTACACCAAGAAAGACACATTTTACTCCCTTATTATCAAGCTTTTTCCTCTTCTGATCTGGAACATGGGCATATGCAATACACCCAAAAATTCTGAAGTAATCAACTACCGGCCTTCTTCCATTCCAAGCTTCTGTAGGAGTCATATTTTGAACAGCAAATGTGGGGCTTCTATTCAAGAGGTGGACACTCCAATTTACTGCCTCCGGCCAAAACTTCTTTGGAATTCCGCTTGTTTGCAACAGACTTCGAACCATATTGAGGATGATTCGATTCTTCCTCTCACATACACCGTTTTGTTGTGGTGTATAGGCTGCAGTAAGTTGCCTCCGAATTCCATGCTTTGTACAAAAATTATCAAACTCAAGGGATTTGTACTCCCCTCCACGATCAGTACGAAGAACTTTAATTAGATTGCCACTTTCCTTTTCAACAAGACTTTTAAAGTTCTTGAATGCTTCACAAGCTTCAGATTTTTCCTGCAAGAAATACACCCAAACCATCCGACTAAAATCATCAATGAATGTGATTATATATTGTTTACCTCCATTAGAAGCTGGTGAGATTGGACCGCAAAGATCTGAGTGGACTAGCTCCAGCTGTTGTTTAGCCCTCCAAGCCTTGCCTTGTGGAAACTGAACTCGGTGTTGTTTACTGATAACACAATCTTCACAAACTCCTGATGGAACTGTGATTGGAGGAAGTCCTTCCACCATATGCTTTTGGTATAGTGTCCTTAAACCACCAAAATTAAGATGCCCATATCTAAAATGCCAAATCCATGCTGCCTCCTTTAATTTAGCCATGTAGCAAGTATGATCAGATTTAAGAAGACAGAGTGGAAACATTCTGTTTGTTGTCATCTCAACTTGAACAAGCATGTTTTGGTGATGATCATATATCTTGCAGGCTCCACCTTTAAATGCAATTTCATACCCTTTCTCAAGTAATTGGCCAGCGCTCAAGAGATTTGTCCTCAATTCAGGAACAAAAAAAACATCAGTAATGGATTGCATTTTCCCTTTTACAGAGACTTGGACAATACCTTTGCCCATGACAGAAATAGTAGAATCATCTCCAAGCTTTACTTTGGTGCGATAGGTATCGTCAATGGAAGAAAATGCTTCTTTACTACCACACATATGATTGCTACAGCCAGTGTCAATGTACCATAAACCTGGTGAAGACACTTCTTTCTCTTGACATACCATTAGAAGAATTTCTCCTTCGTTTGCTTCTGCAAAATCTCGTTCTACATCTGCTGCATCATCTTCATTTGCTGCAGCAAAATTTGTTGTTTCCACACGTTGACCGAGAATGGTCCTACATTCAGACTTGTAGTGTCCATACTTGTGGCATCTAAAGCATTCAACTTTAGATTTGTCTATGCTGCTGTGTTGATAAAATCCTCTACCTCTTCCTCTCCCTCTACCAACATTCATTCTTGTTGTTGTGGAATAACGAAAATTAGTAGAGGTCTTCAAGGCCTGCTCTTCTATGTCTCGGTCTTGGCTTTGGAGCTTCTGCTCATGAACCAATAAAGAACCTTGCAGCTCATCAATTGAAAGTTCTTCAATATCCTTAGCTTCTTCTATGGCACAGACAACAAATTTGAATTTTGGCGTCAAGGATCGAAGAATTTTTTCAACAATGGTGACGTCCCCTGTCTTGTCTCCGTGAGTTCGCATCTTGTTAACGATTGCCATCGTTCTTGAAAAATAATCTGTGATTGACTCCTCTGATTTCATCCGTAGTGTTTCAAACTCCATACGAAGAGCTTGTAGCTGCTGCCTCTTTGCCCTTGCAGAGCCTTGATACTTCTTTTTCATAGAATCCCATATTTGCTTGGAAGTATCCTTGCAAAGGATTGTCTCCAAGGTCGACCTGTCTATTGCCTGAAACAAGTAGTTCTTTGCTTTGAGGTCCTTCAACTTTGCCGCTTCGTAAGTTGTTCGTTGGGCTGCTGTCAAAGTGGCTTCTTCTGGTTCTGCAATCCCAGAAGTGATGACATCCCAATACTCTTTGGACCTTAAGAAATTTTCCATCAACATGCTCCAGTGGTCATAATGACCATCAAAGCGAGGAATTGCTGGTTGGACAAAATTAGTTTCAGTGGCCATAACTATCGCTGCACACGACTCTTATTTTCAGTTTTGGCTACTCTCGTCCTTTTCCGTTGATAAGGAAAAAAAAACTCTCACTTACTTTTTTTCTCTCACTGTATATGCTCTCCCTTATCACACTTTAGTTTGATACAAAAAGCAAAAAGCACTCTCACCCACTTTTCTGACTTCACCTGCTCATTCTAGGAACTCTCACCCACTTTAAAAATTTTCTCTCACTTGTGTACTCTTTGGCTCTTGATACCACTGTTACAAATAGATAACATAAAGACAAAGAGAGAATCAATTAGCTTCTACAAGTTTTATTGAATGACTGATGGCCTATATGTAGGCTGTACTACAACGGGAAAAAACAAAAAGATAAAACAGACTTGTAACAAACTAGATTGTGATCCTACTTGTTGCTAAAGTTTAGGACCCACTAATGACTAAACGAACTACAATTTTCTGATTCAGGAACAAGTCAAACAACTAATCATAAAATATCTAACTCCTAACACTACAAAGGTAGATTGTCAAAAAATTTCAGAAATGGGGTCTTTATTAATTCCAAATTCATCTGTTTAATATCTTTTCAATGTGTTCCAACATTATTTGGTATCGGAGCTCAAGTTGTTTTTCGCTAATGGCTAAACATAATTCATGATGGCCATAGACGGTATGTTCGCGATATCATGATGACCAATCGTGTCAATGATAACTTTGCGACATATAAGACAAAGAGATATGACAACTAGTCGATGATCTATAATGACAATTTGTAAGATCGTAGTTGTTCGTTCAAATTGAAGACAAGATGGAATCTGAAGATGTATTTGATAACGATGAGGTAGACGCTAAAATCTTTATGTTTAGAGCCAAGGGAGGAATCATGAAATTCAACACAGAGTTCAATCCTTTTTTCCAAATATCATGATAAAGATCAATGATGTGTGTTGCTTGGCTTTAAAGGTGGGAAGGGTGGTGTAAAAGGAAGGGTAATATTCTCAAGTTTCAAAGTCGATTTTCCAAGTCGACAACAACTGCTAATCTGACATGAATATTAGCCATGGAAGCGAGCAAAGGAAGATCTATGGCCAAGATATGCTACATGTGTCACAGGATTGGGCATTTCGCTACAGATTATCTAAATCGGAAAATGATGTTGCTTGTTGTAGGAAAAAAAATCATGTCATTTAAATAATGCCACAGAAAAAAAAAAATTATTTAAATTTTAAATTAAAAAAAATCATCCACTTTCTCTTTCCCATGATTTTTGTTTTTCTGTGTCTATCTCTCTCCTAAAATGATGACGTAACTTATGTCATTTAAAATGACAAACACCAAACCCTTCTAAACATTGCAATATACTCAATTGTGAAAAAAAAAAAAAAAAACACAAGGGAAGTAAATACACACTATAAACCAAAGAAACAAAAATGGGTTCCTATTCTAATAACGAGAAAGAGAACCATGCCATGAAAACACCCAATGACATTGATACCCTCTCTGCCATGGTGCTTGGTTCCAATGTGGTCTTTCCTGCAGCACTTAATGCTGCAATTGAACTCAAACTATTTGAGATCATTGCCAAGGAAAGCTCACTATATAATAGTGATGGATTCATGTCATCTTTTGAAATTGCTTCAAAGCTACCAAACCAACACTCAGACTTGCCAAATAGGCTTGACCGTGTGTTACGCTTGCTTGCTAGTTACTCTCTTCTTACTCTTTCCACTCGCACCATTGAGGATGTTACCACTCTCACAGTTTATGGTATCTCACCATCTGGTAAATATTTTGTTAATGATGAAAATGGTTATGGAAATAATGGTGATGGTTATTTGGCTTCATTCACATTATTTCTGTGTCACCGTGCTATGTTAGGTGTATGGTAAGTGTTTTTACTATGCTACTATCATCATTTCATTAGTTATTGATTATTTTTAATTTTTATTATAAAATTATCTTTGTTGTAATATTATAGGCTGAATTTTAAGGAAGCAGTTATTAATCCTGAGATTGATGTATTCAAGAAAGTTAATGGAATGTCTAAGTTCGAGTACTTTGGGAAAGAACCAGAAATGAATAGTGTCTTCAACAAACCAATGGCTGATATATGCACAACCCATATGAAAAAAATACTTGAAATATACACAGGGTATGAGGGATTATCAACTTTGGTTGATGTAGGAGGTGGAATTGGACAAGGTCTCAATATGATCATCACCAAATACCCTTCAATTAAAGGGATTAATTATGACCTCCCTCAAGTGATTGAAAATGCACCACCCTTTCCGGGTACTCCATCTCTCTTGCCACAACTTTGTTTTTTGGTGGTTAATTTGATGGCATCTCTCCTTAACTAAATAATATATAATGACCAATTCCATATTTTTTATTTTTCCAAAATCATTAATCGAAGATGATCAAGTTTCGTTTAGGGATTGAGCATATTGGAGGAAATATGTTTGAAAGTGTTCCACAGGGTGATGCCATAATGCTAAAGGTTAGTATAGTTAATACTTATTATCTAAAACTTTGATAACTAATTCTTGATAACTTGATCAAATCTCAGTGACAGTAATAAAGTACTAACCAAAGTATTTTGTATCCTTGGATAACATTTTTCTAGGCTATAATCCATAATTGGTCCGATGAAAAATGCTTGCAACTTTTAAGCAATTGTCACAAGGCTTTGCCACCAAATGGGAAGGTCATTATCGGGGAGCTCATACTGCCAGAAGATCCAGAACCTAAAAATGAATATAAAATGATTTCAATTCTTGATAACATCATGTTTATTACTCCTGGTGGAAGGGAAAGAACTGAGAAACAATACAAGAGTTTGGGCAAGCGCTCTGGATTTTCTAGGTTTCAAGTTGTTTGTCGTGCTTTCTCTGCTTTGGGAGTGATGGAGTTTTACAAATAAATAAAGGGGAATAATATCACATATCCATGTTGAGTATTAGATATTTACATTTCTACTGCACTTACTCTTGTTAATAACTTAGAATTCTCAACTGGGTTGGATTCTATGGGAGTAATGTTTAATGTTGATTTCAGCTACTTTAGAATCTCAGCCATCTAGTTTTATATAAACGTGTTTCTTTTATGGCAATTGCAACCCAGTATTGTGCATTTTACCTTGGGAGTGCTACAGTACAATGAATTGAAAATTAGAAAAATTGCAGATTACCTTTATTAATCTCCACATGTTATGAAATCAGTCATTATGATATGTATAATCATAACTGAAGGCTACCTGAACTAGTGTGAATTAAGCAGTTGAAAAGATGATTCACATGCAGATCAAGCCAAATCTTAGTATAACTATACTATACTTATAAAACGCAGTCAAACAAAACAAATACAGCGTCTCCCTACTTTGTTATATAATTCAGTTCTACGAATAGTATATATCTCCTCGTTAAGTGAACCTGCAACAGTCAAGAAGAAATAGTGCTTTTTGAGATGATATCAAAGGATATTCCATTTTGTTCAAGTCTTTCCTGGAGATCAGTTGGACCAAATACAATCCCTGGAGGGTAAACTCCTCCTTTTGGTAGGTTGTTGCGTTGGCTGAGAAGAATGAGAGCACACTGAATAAGAATTATTGGGGTGGTCAGATATCCAATTTCAGGTCCCATTACTCTTGTTATAATTTCCATGTCAGGTTTTGTGTTTCCCTGTGAAGCAAGACCCACATTACTAAAACCACGTCCAACAAACCACATCTTGAATGAAGCGCTTTCCACCTCCTCTTCGGAAGGGCCCTTCTTCTTGAACCAACCAAGGCTAAATATAGAAGGAAATTTCAAAAGAAGCCACCTTCCAAAACCAGTACTTCCCAAAAGACCAATGAAAACTCCAACCATAATGATTCGGAAAATGCCCAACAAAGATTTTGAGCCTATTTTCACACCAAAGTGAGCTGGCTTCACTGATGACCAGAAAGCTTCCCTTTTCTCAACCATCTCAGCACTCTCACTCAACCCAGGGAGACCATGGGGGTTTTCTGTTAGAATTGAAAGCGTTCTTCGAACAACAACTGAATCTGCTGAAGGTAGCTTTACTGCCCAAAGGCCAATTTTCTTCTGGTTCTCGATAGTTTCTCCTTTAGAAGGAGGAGGCCCAGGAATCTACAACCATGAAAATACAATCCGATAAAATGAGACTATATTAAAAATATAAAAAAGGAAAAGAGAATGAATGCAATACAAGTTCAACAGACACTATATTCATTAGTTAATCTCAGTCCAAGAGATTGTAATTAGTCCGAGTAAACAACAGAAGAAAGAGGAAGAAGGGAACAGGGTGAGAGTGGGTTCATGTAATGTAATTATAACGTGTGAAGAAGCTGACAATTTATCATCCACTAGGAAAGTAGGAAGCATACCTTCACGTAACAGCCGTTTCACAAGTATTTGTACAGGTAACAACAATAAAAAGTAAAATTTAGAGACAGTACACGTCGAAGTCCTCTCATTTGATATGGCCTTATACATCTCTTGGAGGGACACTTGGAAATCAAATTATTTAAATAATTAGAAGAACTTCTCTTTTTCAGAGAGTCTCCACATATTATGTTATTATGTCCACACCATATAGTTGACTCGATCACAACCTACACCATATAGTTGACTTGATCACAACCTACCTATCACAAAGGCAACCTGGTACTATAAAGCTCCTGCTATGCGTATGGTTCACTAAAGGGTCAAAACTCAATGCGTAGATATATAATCGGCAAACTTACCTTGCATGTGCAAAGAGGCTCTTAAAAGGGTACCCTGGTGCTATCACTGCTATGAAGCTCCCCACGCACAGGGTTCAGGGAAGGCCTTATCTTACATATTTGCACAACACCAACCAACCGTTGTGACAAGGCTCACCTTCCACAACCTACCTCTCACAAATCACGAAATTATAAATTACCAACAACCCACTTGATAACAACCATGACCATGTTCATGTTGATTTTATTATAAAGGAAATATGATATTTTTAAATGGAAAATGTTATATTGACAAACTTTTTTTCTTACAAAATATACTACACTAAGTCTGACAAGTCATACACTTTTGATTGAAGTCTGACCAGTCAGATTTAGTGTAGTTTGTAAGAAATTTTTTTTATCAATATAACTCCTCCCTTTTTTAAATAATTAAAAGAAGTTTTGTCAGAAAAATATAATATAAAAATCATTAATCTTTAAATTTTTTGAGTGAATGGGTTGTTTACTGGTATAGGGGATTCCTGACCAAGTGGTTCCAAATTCAATCTTACCGCTCACATTCTATTAAAAAATATATAATTAAATATTATAAAATTTCTTAACACGTCTCTTAAGTCCACATCCACATCTAAGAGCTTAAATTTTTAGTTGAATTGATTCTTGACAGCTTGAGAGTGTATGCTCTATCCATGTAATAGTTATGTTCCGAGCATATAGTTAACTCACACCACAAGATTTAAAATTTCCAACAACCATTACCATCTTCAAGTTGAATAGCATCTCAGTTACAATAGAAAAAATAGTGTTGGTCTTACCAGAGGCCTAGCTCTTCTGGGTCTGGACCTTCTGAGCTCTTGCAACTTGTTGGCATTTGCCACACCAAGAACCGCGGATTCATACGTGGCAAAGTTACCCACAATCCTCTTCTCTGACTCCAAACTCAGATAAGCTTCGATCCGGTTCGGCACTGCGGGACCCACCCACTGGCGCGAATTGAACATGACACCCAATTCGGCCGGAACCGAATCGAACCCACAAGCCGAAACCACCAACGAACCGGTTTCCGCCGCTTTCTCATGGTAACCGGCGTCCATCCGCTCCATGAACTCCGGCTCGCCGCAAATGTCGAGGTAGTCGCAGCCGGTTTCGACGCAGGCGGCGACGACGGGCTCGCCGAGGCGGCGGAATGGGCCGACGCAGTTGAGGAGGATGGCGGTTTGGGAGCAGAGGGAGCGGAGGGATGAGGGGTCGGTGGTGTCGGCGGTGAGAATGGTGAGAGGGGGAGGAGGGTTGGGCCGGGTGGCCCATTGTAGGGTTTGGGTGAGTTTGGTTGGGTTTCGACCCGCGAGTGCTATGGATTTCAATGGGGATGATGGAGTATTGAGGAATTTGAGTGCTTCTTTGAGTACGTATTTGCCTGTGAAACCTGATGCCCCTAAGATTATCAGGTCGAAACGATGTTCTTGCTTTGATTCCATTTGGGGCTTTCGAAATTGGAATCAGTTGCAGCTCTCTTGCACTATAGAAGAAAAGTTCATGTCGAGCGTGTGAGTTAACGACGAATATCTGTTATGGGAAGGTTGAAATAGTAAAACGCTATGGAAATGACGATATTCCCCCGGTTTAATATAGCTGAAAATAAAATTATTTTTCACACGAAAGTAGGGTTCATTTTTTCTATGATAAATGTAGATAATTTATCTATATTGAGCACAAAATGATATTGTTTTAAGACGAAAATCAATGTATTTTTGTAATTATAATTTATTTCAGGGTTATAATAGTCTTTTTCATTATAATTTTTTAATCTTTCAATCTAAAACGACGTCATTTTAGAAAAGAGTGAATATAGATAACTTATCTACATTCACTGTATAAATATTAAAGCTTTAAAAATATTATGGCTATATTTTTTTTTCTCTTTATATTGTCCCACATTAGCCCACACATTTATATATATATATATATATATATATATATATATATATGAGGTAGGATCATTTGACACCGGTGTCAAATTTGAAGTTTGACACCTCATCTGAGAGCCATTAGATCAGAAAAGATCAACGACTCCGATTTGTAAGCATGTGATACCATTGATCTTTTCTGATCTAACGGCTTTCAGATGAGGTGTCAAACTTCAAATTTGACACCGGTGTCAAATGATCCTACCTCATATATATATATATATATATATATATATATATATATATATATATATATATATATAAAGGGGTTTACATTTGTCATTTAACATGACACAACAAACTTTCCTACACACACAACAATTTGTGGGGCCCACACTTTTTGAAGAAAAAAGAAAAAAGAAATTACGACACGCAAAACGAATCCCTATAACATTACACAATCACTTTTCCTTGAACATAACTTTTATAGAACTCATGTATAAAAGATAATGTTATCTTTTACAATATAAAAAATATTTAAAAAAATGAATAAAACCCTCTAAACAGAAGACAAAAAAAAAAAATCTCACTCACTTTTAATGTACTGCATGAGATAAATAACATGAAAAACATATTTATTTATTTTTGAAACATAAAAACATATTTTCTTTTAAATTATGTTAGTTATTGTTGTTAAATTTGCCTTAAAAATATTTACATGTATTACTGCATTTATATGTCCTAACATAAAAAGTGACTGGTTTGAATCCTGAGAATCACAATTTTTAAAAAGGATAAAGATATAAATCCAAAATTGGATTAGATGGATTCATTAGAATTTCGGAAAAAATATTTATATTTATTACTGTATTAGTATATGCATAATTTGTAAACATAGTGCTTTTTTTATCGGGTGCATCATTTGCTCTTTTTTCTATGCATAATTTCATGTCTCGTATATATCTCACATTTAGGAATAGACATTTTCAACGTGAACATCTTAAATCCATTAAACAACTAAATACACAAATTAGGAAAAATATTATAATTTACAAGGTTAATCATCTTCTTGTAATAATTCAATTGAATCAGACAATTCTGTTTCTCATGCCTGCAATTGCAAAGTGTGAGAACCATCAAAACAAGTTTGCTTGTTCATGCATCAGCTCTTATATTATTATGCCTCACTTGACCTTCCTTCTGCCCATAAGTCCAAGAACTTCATCCCACAGCCCAACAATTCCAACACTCTGCAGCCCAACTACACTTGGGCTGCAAGCAGCTACAGTCCAATAACCAGCTCTGATTTCATCTTTCAATTGCTCTTTCTCCCACCCACAGTACCCATCAAAGAACCTAAAATCTCCAAGCCCAACCACATTCCTCTTAACCATTTCAGCAGCACAACCCACACTTTCCTTTGTTCCATAATACAACCCTTTCATCACTTCCTCAAAAACCCCACTCTTCCCCACCCCATCACCATCACCATCACCCTCACCATCTTTTGGACTCACCAAAAACAACGCTTCCTCCAAGGGTCCCCCAAAGAACAATGGACTATTAGAAAACGTGCCTTCCACATCCAAAGCCGTTGATCTTGTCTCCTTGATGGACATTAAGGATGGTCGATTGAGGATGATCCCTGATGGGCCTAACGGCCCAGTTGATAGAAGAAGGATCACCGTCCGTTCAAAAATATGGACCCCATCAAGCTTTTCGGATGCAATGAGTAAACAACCCCTTTCAGGCTCATGGATTATATGGGCCCATTTATCACCAACAGTGATGAGTGGAGGCTGATCCACAACAGTATCTGGATCATTCACTGAAGAAGAAGGCTCCTCAGGCTTTATCAATTGCTCTCCAGCCACTAGTTTTGCACGGAAGGATCGCCAATCAGCATTGATGGTAGGTTTGTCATCATCCAACGGTGATGATGCTGACAAGTGGCAGCCTGAGATTTTTTAAATAGAAATTTTTAAGCAAGCTAAAAAATATGGGTTTTATGATAGTTATGTTGCAAGAAAAGTGACTGTGTAATGTTATAGAGATTCGTTTTGCGTGCTGTAATTTTATTTTATTTTTTGCTTTAAAGAGTGTGGGTCCAACAAAATATTATATGTATAAGAAAGTTTTTCGTATCATGTAAAACCCCAAAAAATATTAATATAAAGTTTCATAGTGTAAAAGTGGAGGAGGAAAGTGAAGAGCTTACATGATGTGGGAAATGGAATTCCAACTTTTCTGCAGTGGAATTGTTGAGAAGATCTCTTGAACTTGGAGTATGCTAGAGAGCCAGCTCTGATTGTGGGAATGAGTTGATCTGTGGATTTGTTGAAGGAATTTTGAGTGAGAAAACAAGCTTCCATGTTATTTAGAGTTACTTGTTGAGAAGGATGAAGTGATGAGAGAGTTTGATGGAATATTTATAAATGTGAAATGGGGTTTAATCAGCACCACACACAGTGTTTTGTAAATTTGTAATGCATCTCATCCAAGTTGTGTGTCTTAGAAGTTAAAGGTATGGGCCAATGGATATAATTTGACACATGCCACATAAGACAACAAAGCACATAGTGCCACCCGGAACTTTATTTGTGGGTATTGGATGGATCAAAACCTTTTTAGGTGATGTGTCAAGTTCTATGCCACTTGACTATTCTCTAGTTACCTTCAGTACTAAAAAGATTTCCAACTTGTGGTTATTCGATGTTATAGAGAAGGACACGTGCCATAGGTAAAAAGAAAAACATAAGTAGCCTTTAAACTATGTAGTTAACTATTATTGTTGGATTATTATGATCACTTTGTAATTTGCCTCTTACCATACGATTAAACTACCTAATTATAACATAATAGGCCAATTCAGCAACTTGAATAACCACGGATTTCTCAGATGGATAGTCATTTAAAAAGTATTGATATGGCATAACAAAGTTTGAACGGCAGGAGGATCAGGCTCCGCGATTGCATAATTTCGATGGGATGAATTCCTTGCATTGCAGCATTATATTGTCGCCACAGTCTACACATCAAGTTGTTTACGACTCGCTAGTACAATATCTAATTGGCATCACAAAATTGGAATTCATCTTTTCCTTCATTCGCCTTCACTAATTCATTTTTACAGTTTTAAACCTTTTCAAAATGCCCAAGCCTTGGCTTTTCTGGTGTGGAGTCAAAGAATAGGCCAGAACCAGCAAAAGTAGAGATTCAAGATTACTTGTGGGTCTATTTGCACCTTCCCTTAAAACTTGATGCAGATTGAAACACACCTAACTTCAGCAAAAGTAAATAGTATGAAAAAAAGCTCTCCAAACAACACATTCTCATTATAAAAATTATCTAGCTTTGTTACCATGTATTAATGCTTTCTGAAATTTATATAACAGATTTTAATTTTAAATGTATAACATGCAGAGATGCATAGATCTTGATACAGTTCAACAAATGAACAATTCAAATGTAACACCGGAAATAATTTCAAAAAACACCTAAATTACATATCAAAGAAGAGACAAAAGGTTCATTCAGAAATGCAGCTAACTTCATTCATGCAATGCAATAATTCCCTATCAGTCCATCAATAGCGAAATGTTTGGTTTAGAAAAAATATTATATGCAATTTCCTGATGGACTGTTAATTCTAGAAAGAATACTAGTTATTCTGGGGTTTGGGAAGTTAAATTGTAATGTTTGGCAGATAGCTAAAAATGCATTCACGTGTGTAATTTCAAGAGAATCTTTTTATTTGTTTGGTGATTGTGTATTACGAACTTTGAGCTCACTATCCTAAAAGTTAGCTCAAAGGTGAGAGTGCTCAAGGCTTTATAAATTCCACATTAATTGCTTATACAACCAATGTGGGACTTGTAACATTGCCACATGGTAGCCTTTCCCCTTTTGGTGGCTTCACTCACTATCAATATTCAGTACAACACCCCTTTGAGAGATATTGCACCTTAATCCAAACTATAGGTAGCCCTTTCCGTGACCTCAATTATCAATGAAAACACCAATTGTTATTGACCTTGAGGTCACCACCCCAAAAGCTAGCTCAAAGGATGAGAGTATCCAAAGCTTTAGAAATCCCACATTCCTTGCCTATGCAACCAACGTGTGACTTGTAACATTGTGATTCCAAAAGAGTCTATTGTCTACAACTCATTTGTTAAACGCCAAAGAAGTATACATAAGTCAATGAGTAGAGAGTAGAAAAGAAAATTGGAAAATATAACACTTGAGAAGTGGGGCAGGGATGAATATAATCCACTTACAGTCTCTGTAATCTAATGAGTTTACGATGCTGGGATGATTCCTCCTGGTTGCATGCATGGAAGATTTCTTAAGCACACAGAAAAAAAAAAAAAAAAAAAAAACTTAATCCCTAGTTTATTTAGTCAGATTAGCAACCAAACGCTAAAGAATGTTCACAGCAAAATAAATGAAGAAAAAGAACCACTGTATAGAAGGTTTATTGCAAAAAAAGAAAAGCGTTTCGGAGTTCTTGATATCTTGTGTGAGAGAAGATGAAGGGCAAGCAGAAAAAGTATTTTCAGCATCAAACAACAAGAACGCACATCTTACAGTACACATTTCCATTCCAGCCCGAAATGAAAACTCGCACAGTTGCATCTTATAAAATTAGTCTACTGCAGATCTTCCAGCTATTAAGAGAAATGGACAAGAGATAAACAAAAAGCTGAAGCTGAAAGAAGTTAACTCGGAGAGAAACACATGTCAAATTTCGAGCAAGAGACATGCAGATTAGAGCAAAGTTATCAAATGCGGATTGCGGCATGTCGCGGCCAACCCTGAAAAACACTATAACGCTATAGCGGGTTGCGGTTGCGGAAATAGCGAAATAGATATATGACAAAATAATAACACAAAGAAACGCTTTTTAATGGTAGAGATAGCAGAAGTGATAGAGAGAGACGCAAATAGACTAAAAAACCTTCAAAAAATTTCTGTTACACATTAAAATTTAGGACAAAATTGACATTTTGCCTTATGATAGCAATATGGCTGCGATCTGGCCGCAAATGTGATCGCTGGCCGCTAATGTGTTCTAGTGCGGCACAGCGCGGTTTCTTGCGGCGAGGCATCGCAACGCCCATACAGCGCGGCTCGCAGGGCTATTGCAGCGCAATTGACTACTATGGATTAGAGATAGCAAGTAGCTCTGCTAATAATCTCACTCTCACGTGAATGTCCCAAGCTTAATAAATTGGAATGATTTGGTGCCAACAACCAGCAGACAGGAATGTATAAATGCAGTAGAGTGGAACTTCCACCCAGTATACATATGTGAAGTAGAGCTTCTTTATAGAACAAGTAATACACAGGAAGAATCTCTGAGCAGTTTCTCTTCACAGAATTTTCCCTCTCTTTGGCTTTATAAAAGTGCTCCTGCCAGTGTTAGTAGGAATGTAGGATGCTTGCACTGTAAGCACCGGTGCAGCCATGCTTACAACTTTTTTGTTTTGCTAAGCCAGTGTTAGCATTGAAGGAAATGATTTCTTTACGTTTGGTAAGCCAGCAATGTGTATATTATCATATTCATTTCCCAAACTATAAGCATCATTTCAGCTGTACATTTTGATGCAACCAAATCATATTCATCCATCTCTATTGATCTATCATAGGGACATATCCAACCTGCCTAAGGTCCTGTACCAATCTGTCAATCATCTTGTATATATCATCTGATTTAGGGTGTGACTGATCGAAGACAGTAAATTCATGCACTTCTTCTTCTACCTCTATGGAACTAGCCCCAGAAGGCTTTTGGCCTCCTGTACTCTTAATTTGTAACCTTACATTGGCAACATTCATCTTGTATACATCATTTCAGCTGTACATTTTGATGCAACCAAATCATATTCATCCATCTCTATTGATATATCATAGGGACATATCCAACCTGCCTAAGGTCCTGTACCAATCTGTCAATCATCTTGTATATATCATCTGATTTAGGGTGTGACTGATCGAAGACAGTAAATTCATGCACTTCTTCTTCTACCTCTATGGAACTAGCCCCAGAAGGCTTTTGGCCTCCTGTACTCTTAATTTGTAACCTTACATTGGCAACATTCATCCAATCCCCTGCTTGAGCATAAATATTTGATAGAAGGGAGAAATTTCCAGGATCTGATGGCACCAACCTAAACAGTTGATCACACACAGTTCTTGCAAGATCTACATCATTATGCATCCGACAAGCACCCAAAAGAGTACCCAATACAATGGCATTTGGTTCCACAGGCATGCTGCGCAAAAGCACAAAAGCTTCTTTTAGATGTCCCCCACGGCCAAGAAGGTCAATCATGCAACCATAATGCTCAACTTGAGGAACAATCCCATACACTTTCTCCATTGAATAAAAGTAATTACGTCCTTCATTAACAAGACCTGCATGGGTGCAAGCACATAAAAGGCCAATGAATGTATATTTATCTGGCTCAAAACCTTCATGTACCATCCTAGAGAAAAGTTCAAGTGCTTTCTCGCCATTTCCATGCATGCCAAACCCTTGGATCATGGAATTCCAAGACACCACATCTTTCTTTGCCATCATTCCACAAAAGACACCAAACGCAGCATCCAAACAGCCACACTTAGCATACATATCAATGAATGCATTCAACACCTTAGTGCTACATCTAAACCTACACCTCTGAATGGAGGCATGAATTTTCTTCCCCAATCCGAGCATTCCAGACTCAGCACATGCAGCCAAAATACTTATCAAAAAACCATCATCAGGCTTCAACCCAGCTTCCTCCATTTTATCATACAAGGCTGTCGCCTCCTTCACAATCCCCTTCTCAGCATACCCAGATATTATGGTGGTCCAAAGCACCAAATTTTTAGCGGGACACTTATCAAACAACATCCTAGCCATATCCATATCACCAGCTTTACTATAACCCCAAACCATCGTGGACCAAGAGATAATATTCCTCTCAGGCATTTTCTCAAACAGTTCAAACGCCTTATTCATCTCTCCCGCCTTCGCATACCCATCTAACAACGTGTTCCAACTAACCATATCTCTCTCAGGCATTTCATCAAACAGCCTACAAGCATCATCCAACTCACCACCTTTCACCAACCCACCAATCATAGAGTTCCAAGTCACAATATCCCGTTCCTTTACTTTCAAAAACAACTTCATTGCCCCATCAAGGCCAACACTCCCGCACTTAGAGTACGAATCAATCAACGAATTGGGCACAAAGATATCACCATAAAAACCAAATTTTTCGACATGGGCATGGATCATTTGAACCAACGGAAACGAAGAACGGCCATCACAAGCCTTTAACAAAAATGGGTAAGTGAAATTATCAGGGTAGACACCATTTCTCTGCATGTCAAAGAAAATGGCGAAAGCGTGTGAAGGGTGAGAGTTGTTATGAGCGTGTGCTCTAATGATGGAGTTGTACAAGTGGGTATTGGGGTCGGTGACTTGGTTGAAGACGCTGACGGCAAAGGCAATGTGGCGACAGAGGGAGAAAGCAGCGATGAGTTTGGGAGCAACGTAGAGGTCTTGGTGGAGATGAGCTTTGAGGATTTGGGCGTGGCTTTGCTTCACAAGGTCAAGGTTGTTGCACCTGTGAAGGTCAGAGAGCTTCTCTTCAAGGAGTCTTCGTCGAGAGAACCACATAGGGACTCGCGTTGCCATCGACACGTGCATCCTTCTTCTTCTTCTTCTTCTTCATGCAACGCTCAAATGCTGCTTTTCATGCCGCATGTGAGTGTTCCTACTTCAACTGGTTCGGTTTTTTTTTTCTTTTCCTTCTTCTTTTTTGCTCACAGGGAGGCAACTTTCATAGCAGCAGCATATCATGATTAAGGGATTAACGGTTATTTGTAGAATATATATTAATATATCTTAATTATTAATTTTTATGGGTCAATGATTATTATTTTCACAAATAAAATTTATTAATTAATTATTAATTCATAATTAATGATAATTATTGATCGAAGAAAATTAATAATTAAGATATAATCACTGTTCCCCTGAACTCCGGATTAGTCCCATAGCCGGCTCAAAGAGTCGAAGCTCATGGGGATACCGGATGGAGCCAACTCGTCTCAAAGAGATAATTAGGGTTGGGTAACTCCAAAAAAAAAATCTCATCTCATTTTATATTTTATATACACATAAAAATGTATAGATCAATGTATGAGCCAATGCGGAGCATGTGAGGAGAAGAGAAATAATAAAAAAAAAACTATGGATCTTATTTATTTTTATGTGTATATAGTAAATTATCTTCTATAACATGAGAAATATTAATCTCATGATTAAATTAGAATTTTGTTCTATAGTTTTCATCCATATTAATTTTTTGTGGTTACCCGTTTTTAATTTAATTCTTATAAAAAATTAATTTAATTTACAAAAATTACTAAAAAATCATAAATGACGGATAACATCATTTATGTTGAGGAAATTAATATAACAAAAACTGGACATAAGATTGATTTAACATCACAAAAATATCAAGTTAATTGATCAATCTATCTTTATTTTTAAAAAAAATTACCAATTCACCCCAATGTGCAAATTATATACACATTTATCCTAATTTCGTCAAAGTTGATTATTCGGATCATACCTTAAACTCAAACTTTACACTGATGTAACCTGATTCGTTACCGGACATTAACTCAATTAAATGAGATATTTACTCAAGTAATATCAAGCGGAGACCATAAACAATAGATATTGTTCCTCAATTTTCTCAGGTTTTCTATCATTTTCTCTCATTTGTTTTTTATCTTCTTTGCAACCCAACATTTTAACTCTCAAACTCACCATCCCAAATCATTGTCCTTATCTTTAGAAATTTTTATGCAAAATTTGTTGGATCAAATCAATTCCGGAAGCGAAACAGTAAAATGCAATAGGAGAGAGATGAGAATAACACAGTCAATTTGTTTAACGTGAAAAAACTTTTTCCAATGTGAAGAAGTAAAAACCCACAAGACACTAGTCCAAAATTAAACTTCCACTATAAGAATAATGAGTTACAACAATCAAACTTCCTTAGTCTTTCGCTAGAGATACAATCAAATTTCACTTACAATGATGGTACTATCAAACTTCCTTAGAGAGGTCTCACTCAAATTTTTCTCTAGAGGTATTCAAATTCTTTTTCATATCTCTAAACCTCACACACTACAAGCTTATATAGGAGAGGGATTGAATCACTCAAAAGATGTGTCCCTTGAGCCTTGCACCTTCATTTATGGAGAGATATTAAATCACTCAAAGGATATGTTCCTTGAGCCTTGCACCAAAAATGAAGAGTTCTAATCTTTTGACACTTGAGCCAAGCATCGAAAAAGGAACAACTCCCAACAAAAATCTCAACACACCTCCAAATCATAAACCATTTCAAAGATGAGTTCATGTTCTCAAACATTGTTGCTGTTGTCTACCACAATGGTAGACAATTTCAAGATCCTAATAATCTAACTTTTAAAGTTCAAACAAAAACGATGCAACTCAAACAAGACATTAGCTTCAATGATCCAAAGAGGAGGATTCATAAAAAAATTAGGCCTCCAATACAACCAAGGTAAATGATCTTGGTGACAATGTAAATATGGAGTCTATGATCGATGGATTTCTCGGTCAATCGTAAAGAAAATTCATTGAGATATATGCAAAAACCAATTGTGGTGTGGCCTTACCCAGTCAATCAAAGTTACGAAGAAATATATATCTCATCGCTTGCACCTTCACCAATTGTTACTACCCAAATTTATATTTTACTATTTTTATTAAGTAAAATAAGAGAAAATGTTGACAAAAAACTAATCATAATGTGTTAAAAGCTTCAATAACTATCCAAAATAAATAAATAAATAACTAATATTTTTAAATTCCATAAATTAATTACAAAATCTCAACTTTTTTAAATATGATTTCTTTTATTTTTATGTCGGAACCAGTGTTATTGAGGCCGTATGTAATTGAATATGCATGTTTTTGTGATACTTTCAGGGTTTTTTTTATTAAAAAAATATAAAATAGTGAGGCCACTGGATTTCATTGAGTTTGGGTTTTGGAAGTGAAGTCTATTATGAATAGCACCGTATCAACCATAACTGTCAAATTGTGTTTGGATTAATTGGATTCATTTCCTACTTCAATGGTTTTTCAGATAAATGTATATTTTTTAATGCATGCCAGCATCAGTAAACCCTCCAATTTGAATTCACCAGGCCCAAAGAACCTTATGCTTGGTTCTCTCGTGCTTTGTGAAAAAGGGAATATATTTATCATATTGCATGATATATTTTTGTCTCATATAATACACAAAAAAATTAAATAGAATTTATTAAGAAGAAAAGAGTAAAAAAAAAATGAGTTTCACTTATTTGCGTATTGCATGAAAAAAAAACTATTTCATATAATATGAGGAATATATTTTTATTATGAAAATGGGTAAAATCCAACTTTTATTACTATTCAACTAATTTTTGCGAACACACATATATATTATTGGTTATTTGATTAGTTTGTGTAAATATATGAATTAGGGACTCTGGTGCTTTGTTTTAATACAATTTTGTTATGTGAAAGATCTCAATTTCTCATTATAAATTAAAATCAGTAATTAAAGTGATAATTTTTAATTTCTCATTTTACGGACTTCACCATTAAAATAGTGATCATTGCTCTAGGAATAAATTATTAAAATCTTTCACTACGAGATGTGAAAGCAAAACATAAAAAATTCATTCATGACATCAGGGTTTTTAGATTTGAGTTTTTAGAATCCTACATTGCAATATATTTCCACTTCACTGCTGCACCATGGCACTTTACATGCTGCGTACCACGTGCATCTTTTTTAAGGAAATTCCACATGAATATATTACATTTCATTTAAGCCTTAATTTATATTATGTTTTTTTTTCAGTTGAAATAAATATTTAATTTTTAGTCTGCAAATAAATAGTTACTTGTTTAAAAATCAATTTAGAGACAGAGAGAGGTTAGGAAGAGATATTTATAAATTATTATTTAAATGAATTGGGTTGGGTCATTTGTGTTGGTAGAGCCAACTGAATTGTTCCTGGACCCTGTTGAATTGATGAGCTTTGTATCTTGAGACCCATTATTCTCAAAGTTTTGAATCTTTTGATACGCCATAGGCATAAAATGTTTAAAAACTCCTTGTGGTTTTATTTTGAATTACTTATATTTATATGTATTTTTTAAAGATTTGATGTTTGTCATTTTAAATGACATAAGTTATGTCATTTTAAGAGAGAGATAGACACAAGGAATGAAAATCATGGAGAGAAAGTGAGTGTTTTTTTTTAATTTAAATTTTAAACGAAAAAAATTTATTTTGTGTCTCCCTCTCTTAAAATGACATAAATTTATGTCATTTAAAATGAAAAATATTTTTTCCATTTTTTAATCACTTAATCTACTGTGGTTTTTTCCATTCACACCCTCATAACACTGTTAAAAAATTAATTAAATATATCTATTTATCTTTTTTAGAATAAAAAATAAAGTGATAAAAAAAGAAAAAGAAAATCAAATATATTAAAAATCATAACAGAGATAGAAAAAACTAAGATAAAAAAAATACTAAAGACAAAAAAACTAGAAGAAAAAATTAAGATGAAAAATAAAATAAAAAGAAATTATAGTTATGACTTTTTAATTTATTTAGTTTTATTTATTTCTTTTTTGTTATTGGTCTATTTTATTCTTTTTTATTTAGATATATTTCGTATTTTTTCATTTTTGGTCTATGTATTCTGATTTTCTTCTCAATTTGTTTTAATCTTATGTCACCCCATTTACTAAAGATTTTCGTAAAAAAAATTAAAAAGAAAAGAGAGAATAAAATAAAAATATAAAAAAAAATCAAACATATCTAAAAAAATGAATAGAGCAGGACAAATATATATATATATTGTAAATTCATAACTTTTCTTTTTCTTTTTCTTCTATTTTTTTCTTTTTTTATACATATTTTTCATGTAGAAACATTTGATTTTTATTACTATTTTTTTCTTTGTCTTTCATCAATTGTTCTAATTTTTCATAATATTTGGTCTTATTTTTCTTTTCTTTTTTATCACTTTATTTTCTTCTTCTAAGAAGGGTATAATAGGTATACTAGATTAATTTTCTAATAGTGTTAATGAGATGTATAAATAAAAAAATCACAGAGGTTAAGTGATTAAAAAAGAGAAAAAAAATAAGTATCATGTTGTAGGACAACCCTCTTGTTATGCTATAGAGACAATCAATGTGGGATCCACCATTTTTAAAATAAAAAGAAAAAGAAATGTAGCACAAATATGGACGTATGCATTGTTGTTAAAATCTCGATTTATCACTACGATTTTACGATTTTTTTCATCAAAACGATTTTACTAATATTTCAAACGCTTTTATGTTTTTACGATTTTTTTACATTACGATTTTATATTTTACGATTTTTTAATCCCTATCCGATTTTACTTAAGATCTCAATTTTAACAACATTAGACGTATGTGTAAAAAATTCAATTTTTATCATATAACATGACAAATACAAAACCTTAAAAAAATCATTAAGCGTTTGAAAACAATACCACAAGAGTTTTTTACGAACTTTTCCCCAATATGTATCCATGTATAGGGAGCAACCGAATATTATTTAAAATAAAATTCAAAAA